ATACCAAAATTACACCTAAAACAACGAATCGGATAGCAAAACAAATGAAATTTTCAACGAAACTTAAGAACTTTCAATATTTCAACCGGGCGTCCGAATTATGTCAAATCAACTTTGTTTTGCACCAAATTTTGCAGACAGGTCATAAATACAATAATGAACCTATACCAAGTTCCGGAACCAAAATCCAAGCCTCATAGCAACAAAGTCAAACTTTGGTCAAACTTATTATTTCTTTAAACCTTTAAGCCTCTAATTGTCAATAAATTGCAATAATTCGAGATAGGGACTTTCGAATTCGATTCTTAGCATACGCCGAAGTCCCAAATCATGATTCGGACCCACCGGGACTGTCAAAACAATGATCCGAGTCCGTTTTCTCAAAACGTTGACCAAAGTCAACTCAAATGAGTTTTAAAGCACGATTTCACTTTTTCGTCAATTTTTCACATAAAAACCTTTCAGAAAAAGATACAGACTACACATGCAAATCGAGAAAGGTTAAACTGAGCTATTCAGGGTTTTAAAACACAAAATTGAGGGTTAAAGCAATGAATGACCTATCGGGTCATCACATTCTCCACCTCTAAAACAAACATTCGTCCTCGAATGGACATAGAAAAGTACCTGGACTGGTGAAAAGGTGTGGATATCTACTCTGCATGTCCTGCTCGAACTCCCAAGGGGATGCCTCGATCGACTGACCTCCTCACTGCACTTGAACTAAAAGATAACTCTTAGAGCTCAACTGTTGGGCTAGAATAGCCATCGGCTCCTCCTCATAAGTCAAATCCTTATCTAATTGGACTGAGCTGAAATCTAACACATGGGACGGATCACCGTGATACTTCCGAAGCATGGACACATGGAACACCGGATGGACTGCCAATAAACTAGGTGGCAATGCGAGCCTGTAGGCCACCTCTCCCACTCCCTGAAGAATCTCAAAGGGTCCGATATACCTAGGGCTTAACTTGACCTTCTTTCCGAACCTCATCACACCCTTCATGGGTAAAACCCGGAGCAATACCTTCTCTCCGACCATGAATACAACATAACGAACTCTACGGTCGGCATAACTCTTCTGCCTAGACTGAGCGGTGTGAAGTCAATCCTGAATAATCTTGACCTTATCCAAGGCATCCTGTACCAAATCTGTACCCAACAATTGATCCTCCCCTGGCTCAAACCATCCAACTGGCGAACGGCACTGCCTCCCGTATAATGCCTCATAGGGAGCCATCTTAATGTTCGACTAGTAGCTGCTATTGTAGGCAAACTCCGCAAGTGGCAGGAACTGATCCCAAGAACCCCCGAAGTTCATAACACAAGCGCGAAGCATATCCTCCAATATCTAAATAGTGCGCTTGGACTGTCCGTCCATCTAGGGATAAAATGATATGCTCAACTCAACCTGCGTGCCCAACTCACGCTGTACTTCCCTCCAGAAATGCGAGGTGAACAGTGTACCTCGATCAGACATGATAGACACGGGCACACTGTGAATACGAATGATCTCGTGGATGTAGATCTCAGCTAACCACTCTGAAGAATAGGTAACTACCATAGGAATGAAATGTGTCGACTTGGTAAACCTGTCCACAATGACCCAAACCGCGTCGAACTTCCTCTGAGTCCGTGGGAGTCCAACAACAAAACCCATAGTGATATGCCCCCACTTCCACTTAGGAATCTCTAACTTCTGAAGCAAACCACTTGGTCTATGATGGTCGTACTTAACTTGCTGACAATTTAGACACCGAGCTACATATGCAACAACATCCTTCTTCATCCTCCTCCACCAATAATATTGTCTCAAGTCCTGATACATATTGGCGGCGCCCGGATGAATAGAATACCGGGAATTGTGGGCCTCCTCGAGGATCAACTCTCAAAGCCCATCCACATTGGGCACACAAATATGGCCATGCATCCTCAAAATCACATCATCTCCAACCGTAACCTGCTTGGCACCACCGTGACGCACTGTGTCCTTAAGGACAAGCAAATGAGAATCATCGTACTGACAATGTCTGATGCACTCATACAAGGAAGACCGAGCAACTGTGCAAGCTAAAACAAGACTGGGCTCTAAGATATCTAACCTCACAAACTGATTGGCCAAAGCCTGAACATCTGCAGCAAGCGGCCTCTCACCAACTGAAATGTACGCAAGGCTGCCCATACTCACAGCCTTTCTACTCAAGGCATCGGCCACCACATTGGCCTTCCCTAGATGATACAAAATGGTGATATCATAATCTTTCAACAGCTCCAGCCATCTCCTCTGCCTCAAGTTGAGATCCTTTTGTTTGAACAAATAATGTAGACTCCAATGATCCGTGAATACCTCACACGGCACACCGTAAAGATAGTGCCTCCAAATCTTCAGCGCATGAACAACAGCTGCCAACTCTAAGTTATGAATAGGATAATTCTTCTCATGAACCTTCAAATGCTGCGACACGCATGCAATCACCCTGCCATCCTGCATCAACACTACACCGGGCCCAATACGAGATGCATCACAATACACCGTGTAGGATCCTAAACCTGTGGGAAACACCAACACTGGCGTCGTAGTCAAAGCAGTCTTGAGCTTCTGAAAGCTCAACTCACACTCGTCCGGCCATCTGAACGGGGCACCCTTCTGGGTCAATCTAGTCAACGGGGCTGTTATAGATGAAAATCCCTCCACGAATCGGCGATAATAACCCGCCAAACCCAGGAAACTCCGAATCTCTGTAGCTGAAGTAGGTCTAGGTCAGTTCTGAACTGCCTCAATCTTCTTGGGATCCACCTTTATGCCCTTTGCCGATACAACATGTCCCAAAAAGGCGACTGAGTCTAACCAAAACTCACACTTTAAAAACTTGGCATATAACTGGCAATCTCTCAGAGTCTGAAGTACAATCCAAAGATGTTGCTCATGCTCCTCTCGGCTGCGGGAGTAAATCAAGATATTGTCAATGAATACAATCACAAAAGAATCCAAGTAGGGCTTGAACACCTGGTTCATCAAATCCATGAGTGTTGCTGGGGCATTTGTCAACCCAAATGACATCACTAGGAACTCATAATGCCCATACCGAGTCCGAAAAGTTGGCTTAGGGACATCGGATGCCCTAATCCTCAACTAATGGTAGCCAAACCTCAAATCAATCTTCAAAAACACTTTGGCACCCTGAAGCTGATCAAATAAGTCACCAATCCTCGGCAACGGATACTTGTTATTGATAGTGACTTTGTTCAACTGCCGATAGTCTATACACATCCCCAACGACCCATCCTTCTTTTTCATGAAGAACATGGGCATGCCCCAGGGCGAGACACTAGGTCTAATGAAGCCCTTATCAAGTAAATATTGCAACTACTCCTTCAATTCCTTCAACTCAGGCGGGGCCATATGGTATGGTGGAATAGAAATGGACTGAGTGCCCGGAGTCAAATCAATGCAGAAATCAATATCCCTGTCGGGTGGCATTCCCGGCAGGTCTGCAGGAAACATTTCTGGAAACTCACGAATAACTGGTACCGAATCCATAGATGGAACCTCCGCACTAGAATCACGGACATAGGCCAAATAAGATAGACACCCCTTCTCGACCATACGCTGAGCCTTCATATAAGAAATAACTCTGTTGGTAGAGTGTCCATGAGTCCCCCCCTCCACTCTAATCGAGGCAATCCCAGCATGGCTAAGGTCACCGTCTTGGTGTGACAGTCCAATATATCATGATAAGGTGACAGCCAATCTATACCCAAGATGACATCAAAATCTACCATATCGATGAGTAGAAGATTTACACTAGTCTCAAGACTCCCAATGGTAACCACACACGAGCGATAGACAAGATATACAGTAATCGAATCTCCCACGGGCGAGGACACATACACGGGAGCACTCAAGGAATCACGAGGCACAACCAGATATGCAGCAAAATAGGATGACACATAGGAGTAAGTAGATCCCGAATCAAATAGAACTGAAGTATCTATATGGCAAACGGGAACAATACTTGTGATAGTGGTATCAGATAACTCGGCCTCAGGCCTAGTTGGGAAAGCATAACATCGGGGCTGGGCCACACCACTCAGAACTACGTCGCTGGGACGGTCTCTAGCTGGCTGGCCTCCACCTCTAACGGCCTGACCTCCACCTCTAGCTTCCTGACCCATGCCTCTAGCTGGCTGAGTGGTTGGTGGAGCAACCAGTGCTGGAATCATAGCACGAGAGCCCTGTTGTTATACGTTTCCTTGGAACTTGACCTGAGGACTTGAATAACCACTTTGATAGCTCTATATTGGAGGTGCGCTGATAGGAGCTGGTGGTGCACTGTAGGTTGGCTGTCCAGAATGAGGCACGTAATGACCACGGCTCCCTGAAGCACTGTGGAACGCCTGAAGCGCTGAATGAAATGGCCTAGGAGGATGTCATCTACTAAAAGCACCCTTGCCTCCAGATGAGGCATCGCTGAAACCACCGGAATAACAGGGCCTCTTATATGACACTGACCCCCTCTCTTGAGCACGAACCAACTCGATACATCTAGAAATATCAACAACCATCTAGAAGGAAATATCACTCCATGTCTCCTTGGCCATCTGAATCCTAAAAGTGTAAGTGAGCCCATCAATAAATCTCCTCGCTCGCTCTTTCTCAGTAGGAAGCAAGATAGTGGCATGGCGAGCTAAGTTCACAAATCGAGTCTCGTACTGGGTGACAGTCATACTACCCTACTGAAGTCGCTCAAACTACTTGTGATACTCCTCTCTCAGGGTGACAGGGATAAACTTCTCTAGAAATAGCTGTGAAAATTGATCCCAAGTAAATGCAGGCGACCCAGCTGGTCTAGTCAACATATAATATATCCACCATATCCGTCGCAAATTATATTTTTCTTATTTTATTTAATAAAATACATATTGTTCAAGCATATTTAAGATACTCTTAATAATAACTGAAATTCATAGAAATTAATATTCTACAAGATCCAAAATAGATACCAAAATGCAAATGTATAATTAAGATTAAAATATTTACAATACTAAAATAAAGTTCAAACAAAAATAGTTAATTACTGAGAGACTGGAGAGTGAAGGTCGTCATCAGAAAGCGATGCATGAACCCCGTTAATACCAAAACATCTATAATACCAAAATAAAGTTCAAATAAAAATAGTTAACTACTGAGAGACTGGAGAGTGAAGGTCATCATCAGAAAGCGATGCATGAACCTCGTTAATATTAGTAGTAGGAGGAGGAGCTGGAGGTGCCATAGCTGATGGGTGATCGGTATGATTATCTTGCCCATGTAATGGTGAAGCTATCAATCCTCTTACTCGCTCAGCCAACACAGGAAGCATGTGATCAGTCAGTACAGGAACCATATGATCAGTCAATGCAGGAATCAATCGCATCACTAACTCATCCAAATTCTCCATCGGTGTTGACTGAGCATTCGGAGGTGCTGCTGATGAAGAAGCATCAGATCCAGAAGAGGCACGAAGATTCGGCCCATAGAAATATTTTGCTTGAGATCCAAGACCATATATTCTTCTCTTCTTTTCCCCTCCCGCGGCTTGATAAAATGCTAAAGATTAATCAATATCAGATTAAGTTTGTGTTTGTTGCTGTAATATTTGCTGATATTTTTCCTGTAAATACCATAAAAATTAGTGAAATTCATTAATGATTAAGATGAACATTAGGGGAAAAGAAACGTTAAAAGCATAAATAAATTAACTGTTAAGTTCTTCATTCAAACAAAAGTTAGCAAAAATCATCTTTAGGACTGAAATAGGTGCTAAACAAGTAGTTCAAGTGGGACGTGAATGTCATATACAAAGTCAGTAAAATTAGAGGATTTTGGACTTACATGTACAAGTCGGAATCGCTCACTAACAAAAGATTATTCATCATGACCATGTGTATGGATGTGCAAGTGTAGCTCACTTGGTGTTGGATCTCGGCCCTTTTCAATAGCCTATACAAAAAACAAAGAACTTAATTTCCTTTGATAAGGTGAAACAGTTTACTAATGGACGTACCAAGAAGGTATACAACAGTACAAGTACAAGAAGAATAGCCCCAACAACAGTTTTCAGATAACAATTTTAGAAGTTGAGTTAAAAGATTCTCATTTAAAACTCGAGTGAGGAGTCAATCAACAAATTTCCTGATAAAAAGAGAACTTATGTGTACAATGACCATTTTTAATTCTACATAGTTGTACCAGACCATGGATTTTTATTAACTACATGTAACATCATTGGCTTTGGCTATATTCCCAGTAAGCACTTAAAACTGATTTTCCCTTATCTTTTGGAGGATTTAATCCAATTTCTCCAGTAAAATGAAAAGAGAAGAGCAAAGTTTCCCTAACTATTCTCTTTCTATCCCAAGTTTTTGCACATTATTAACTCAAGACGGGCTATGGCAAAACGGAGCAGAAAAATAAACATAACCAAAGAAAGCAACATAAAAAAGAGCTAAAAGGATAATGTCAAAGAACTAAACTACAACCTTTTCCACCCCTATCTACTTTATAACTCAACTCCTCCTTCATTGCAGGATTACTCATCAAAAGGATGTGTTAATGACAAATCGTGTGACCTCATCGGCCAATTTAAATAATTGCAACAACACCACAACAACTTACTAATCTATCTGTTTCAGCTAATAATAATGGGGATAATTCACTCGTTGGATGTCAAGGATCCGATGCTAATAAGCTGCTAAATACAACAACTGTTTCTAGGAATATTAATGCTACAGTTCCTGTTAAAACAGCCTTGGGGAGGGTTTCACAGGACTTAGCTGCAGCTGGGCAGATTGTGCAGCCTATGGATAGTGTTTCACAGGCTGTAAATGCAAGTTTGGAGACTACTAGTGCTGTGAATGCAACGTGAGTGAATGTTACAGTTGCTACAGGTGATAAGGCGGTGATCAAGGAGGATCAGTTGCCTAAATATTTGGTGCGCGATCGACCTGCTGCTGTAGTTGGTGAATCAGCTGATAAATCAGCAGGCCTTAAAGCTACTGTTGTGGCTGATGAGGGGAAAGATCAGGTAGGTGTTATGGCTTTGGAGTGTGCAGCTACTACAGGTTCTAAAGCATCAAATATAGAGGCTATACATCTTCAACTTTTAGCTGGAGTTGAGCAGCCTACTTCTGGGAGTTTGAAACCTACTATTGCTACTGCTGGTGCGTTGAATATAACAGTTGATCGAGATGCTACTGATGTTGTTGAATCAGTGTTTCAAGGAGCTAGGGTTTCTAATGTTATTCCTACAGGAGCTGGGAAAAACACCACTAGTAAGAGGCAGACTAATGTGCCAGAAGCATCAAAGTTGTTGTTGTTTGCTAACTCTTTTGGTGTTGATCGTGAGGCAACCTCAAAAAATTATAGGCAACCACAATCTCCAGGCAGTAGCAAACAACAATAACTTTCCAAGAACATAGGTGGTCGACTAGTTGTTTAATCACCAAATATCACCAAAATTGAAACTCAAATTTTTCTTGAGCTAAAAACACAAGTAGTCAAATACTTAACACTTAAAAATAACTACTAAGTAACCTGTTAACCCACCCGGATGAACCATAATCATCTCTAAGAAGGACTTCTGCAAACACTTTAGAGAATATACCATACAAAATCGTTTAGGACAGTTTTTCTCTGTCACACATGCTACTTCATTAAAAACAGAAATTACTATGCATTCTTATCGCTTAATAATGACAACAGAGAGGTCTAGAAAAAGATACAAACACTTGGTCGGTATAATTAAGTAGAAAATTAAAAGGATCTCAAATAAATTAGCTTAAGGGACAAGAATGGATTGGGTGGGTTTCACCAAACTAATAACAACGGGTGAGACTGTGAGTGAAGGCTAACTTCGCTCACACAGATCTAAAGATACCTAACTTTGATTTAAATCACCAAATATCACCAAGATTGTTATAAATCAAGAGTTCAACACAAAAGAAACCCCCAAATCAAATTTTAACAACACTAAGTAGTAAAAATATAAATATTTATGCACAAATAAGACATACCCAGAATATGTCAACTCCTACTTTATATTTGACTTCATATACTACAAAGAAAAAGAGGGGAGAGGTAAAATGCTTGATTTATTTTACATCTACCAAAACCCTAAAACATTTACTATAGAAAATTTGCTAATAAACAGAGAAAGAAGTAGAGACATACCATTTTTTTAGAAAAGAGATGACTTAGTAGCGCATCTGGGAAGATTAATGGAAGATTAGAGGAGGAGGAGAAGAAGAAGAAGAAGAAGAAGGAAAGGGGATCATTACTCACGAAGAAGGAAAGGGGCTCGTTACTGTGAGGGAGGGTCTTATGACAAAGTGAAAATATTGGATGCCTTTTTTTTTTAATGCCTAGCGACAAACAATTCCGTTTCAACAAGGGAAAGATAGTTTCATTAAAGAAGCAAGATTAGCGACAAACTCGGTCCGTCGCTAAATACGTCGCTACAATGTAATAAATTTTGTCATCCAGATTTCCTCACTTATTTTGTTGCTAAATTATGGGCGCCAATATTTAGCGCCATTTTTTAGCGACGGATTTTTTGCTTTGTCGCCATGTTGTCGCTTAATTAGATACTAATTCATCTATTTACCTTTTCTGCGACCAAACTCTATTTTCGTAGTTAATCCGTCGCTACTTAGCGACGGAAAAGTATTTGTCGCGGAAATCTATCACTAAATCAAGTTTTTTTGTAGTGACCACGACACTTACCTCGTTCCGCAACTAATTCAAAGTTCAATTACGGCCTTTAGAAACTACCCACGAATAGGGCTGCTTATCGGGCGGATTGGGCGGTTAATTACTCTTAACGGTTTGGCTTAACAGTTATCGGCTTTTAAATGTATTAATCCGCTAGCCACCCGATAAGATATCGGACGGATTGGTATCGGTTTAGCTCTTATCGGGCGGTTTATCGGCCTAATTAAATCTATATTGCGTGCATTAATTGTTTGTTGACCGCCTAGCATACAAATTCATAATAGAAAATTACACATTGAGTCCCGACAAACATGTCTGCTAACGCCTACATAAGAATGATGTAGTGTGTCATGTGTTGTAGAGTGAAAAAAGTAGAACACATTGTAGGCTAGATTACATCCCAAAGCAGACTACATATGAGTCCAGATATACATGTATGTTAACGCCTACCATTAAATCCCAAAGCAGACTACATTACATGAGTCCAGACATACATATTATATATATATATATTCTTAACGGGTTAACGGATTATCCGTTAAGAAAATTGAATAATCCGCCCCCAAACCGATAAGCCGTTAATAAAAAAATTTCAATCCGTTACCCGTCCGTTAAACCGTTAACCCGATACCAATAAACCATTAAGCTTCGGTTTCGGTTCGGTTTTCGGTTTCGGTTCGGTTTTGAACACCCCTACCCATGAATGAAAGAGGTTCAATTTAGATCATTATTGAAAAAGTCAACAAAAGTCAACCTTCAGGACCGCTTGGTCAAAACCCGAGGTTCGGACCAAAACCCGATCACACATTCACCCCCGAGCCCGATTATGTAGTTCAATTCGAAATCCGACCTCAATTCGAGGTCTAAATTTCAATTTTACAAAAATTACTAATTTTATCCAAATCCCTAATTTCTACCATAAAAATCCTAGATTTAAGGTTGAAATCTTATGAAATGAAATGGAAAATTTAAATAAAGTAGATTAGAGTCACTTACCAATGAATTTAAGAAGAAAAGCACTTGGGAAAATAGTCTCTAAGGTGTTTAGGCTTGAGAATTTTGAGAGAATGAGCTAAAATCTCGATTTTCTCAACTTTTGTCCAGGCACAGATGTCGCAATTGCGAATCCCGCAAATGCGAGAATATCTTCGCAACTACGAAGAAGCTCACATATTTGCTATCATCTCATTTGCGATGATTTGTTCGCAAATGCGAACTCTGGGACTCTGTTAATGCAACCTTTTAATCGCAAATGCGATCTATTACTGACCCATCCCCTATTCGCAAATGCGAACCTGACAGGAATTTGAATGTTCGCAAATGCGAACAATGACCTCACAATTGCGAGATCAGAAACTTGCACCAAAACCAGATGCACCAGCTATTTTTCCTAAGTCTAAAACCACTCTGAAGCCTATCCGAAACTCACCCGAGCCCTCGGGGCTCCAAACCAAACATGCACACAAGTCCAATAATATCAAACGAACTCGCTCGCGTAATCAAAATACCAAAATAACACCTAAAACTACGAATCGGACACCAAAGCGAATGGAATTTTCAATGAAACTTAAGAACTTTCAATATTTCAACTGAATGTCTGAATTACGTCAAATCAACTCCGTTTTGCACCAAATTTTGCAGACAAGTCATAAATACAGTAATGAACCTATACCAAGTTTCAGAACCAAAATCTGGATCTGGTAGCAACAAAGTCAAACTTCGATCAAACTTATTAATTCTTTAAACCTTTAAGCCTCTAGTTTTCAATAAATTGCGATAATTCGAGTTAGGGACTTCCGAATTCGATTCTGGGCATATACCAAGTCCCAAATTATGATACGGACCTACCGAGAACGTTAAAATACTTATCCGGGTCCGGTTGCTCAAAACGTTGACCGAAGTCAACTAAAATGAGTTTTAAAGCACGATTTCATATTTTCGTCAATTTTTCACATAAAAACTTTTCGAAAAAAGATACGGACTACGCACACAAATCGAGGAAGGTTAAACGGAGCTATTCGAGGTTTTAAAATACAGAATTGAGGGTTAAAGCTATAAATGACCTATTGGGTGCAAACACGTTCTATGCATTCATTGAATTGATATAAGCATGTGGTATGCATTCATTGAATTGATATAAGCACCGGGTGCTAGTAAGTTTGGATAGTCACGAGAAATCCGGCTTAACTTATTTCCTTATTTTTGACGCTTTCCTTTCGAGTAAAAGACCTAATTAGGCTCCTTGTAATGCTTAATTGTGTATTATAGAAAAAATTTTGTTAATGACAAACTCTTAGTAGAAAGGAATTTATGAAAATTCTTTTAGAGAAAGAACTTCATTGCTTGATGTCAAATTAGGATATGCGGCAGAAAAATAGATGATCTATTCCCTTTTTTTTTTTAAAGTCATCTTGAAAATTGTGTGATGCTTACTCTCAAGGGATGCGTAAGTGTTGGTAATTTCTAGTTGGCAGTAATGCAAAGTAAAAGATTCTTTGTGGGTATTGTTTTTCTTCGTTGTTTGTCTTATGTAACATATGAAAGATTCATATGGATCAGGAAAACTCTCTTTTCCTCCATATATTGAGTTGTCCTTTATTGGGCTAGTAAAAGAGAGTGGCTTCATAGAATATGTATATTATACATTAATATATAAAAATTATACACTTTATCGGCTATTATTTTTTAGAGCTGCTATACTCATGTATAGTTTTTCCTAATTTTAATCCTTGTAGCAGTTGTGATATAATTTCTGTAACAACTACAAATTATTAATTCTTCCTTTTGTAAACTAGCTAAATGACGATAAACTTGTACATCAATGGTCCAACGTATATCAACATATATAGGAAGCGTCCATTGACAGCAAGGAACTGGTCGAAAATATGAGCAGCACATAATCAACATGGATAAGTTCTCTAGAATATTGAGAAAGGAGACAACTCAAGATTACGTACCTTTCTTTTCGATTAAGCAAGTTCTGATAAATGCCGTCTGTGCAGCTTCAGAGCTTACCCGCAGACTGTGAACTGAGTTAAGTTTATCAAACGTCATTTTTGCCGAAAATATTCATTAAATAATTAACATTTTTCTAGAAATAATATCTACATATATAATAAATTTACAAGCTTTAATTAGATCCTCTCTAGCGCCATATAAGAACACATACAACTATACAAGCTAGTTCAATACAGTTCATGCAAGGCGTGCACGCTGATGTAGGCAAATGTGAAAATCGCAAATGAGACAAGCATATATCGAGTCAAATTTACCAGAAGAAAACGTGAAGATCGTGTAACTTTGCCAAAAAATGGGATAAAGTAATAACAGACTCCAGAACACCAGTTACGTACATGTCGCCTAGCTCACTACTTTTCTCTACATTCTTTTTATATTTTTGGTTTAATTACTATCACATTTCATCCGTGCCTTCATTCTCTTGTTATTTAAAGTCAAATATTTGCCCCTTTTTTTAAAAAATCTTTTCACTAGAATTTTGAGTAAACGAATAATGACGGAGAAATTCAGGTCTCTAGCATTCTTGATTATACTCTTGCTCTTTGTCCAGTCAGTCAAATCAGAATTTCCTCTGGCACCAGCATTATATGTTTTTGGGGATTCATTATTTGACAGTGGTAATAATAATCTTTTGCCAACTTTTGCTAAGGCTGATTTCAAGCCTTATGGTATAAATTTCAATGGAGGAGCTACTGGAAGGTTTACAAATGGGAAAACTGTAGCTGATTTTATTGCTGAATTTCTTGGATTGCCGTTTTCTCCACCTTACTTGAGTTTACGAGGTTCAGTAAAACTCACAGGGTTAAATTATGCATCTGGGTCGTGTGGTATTTTACCTGAAACAGGAAATATCATCGTAAGATCATACTTTTTTGTGTTTTTGTTCATTTGCTTTTGTTTAACTTCACATTTGGAAGGAAATGAATTACTAGCTAGCTGTTCTAATCCTAATAGTTGAGCTTTTATATATAGCATGAAATAGTTTTTATAACGAGGCGCTTTCATGAATAGGGATTTCCTGCTAACGGACTTCTCTTTTTAGCACTTCATTTCGTTTCAAAAGAATTTTGATTTCAGCCGACTGTGCTTTTGATTTCAGCCGACTGGGCAAAGGGAAAGAAGAGATGGGTGGTCCGAGAACAATAACGAAAGAGTACTCATAGCCCCACTCTCAGTCTTCCCCGCGCCTTTTTGTTAACCCAACCCGGAGTAATGCAGAACTCCTTTTTTAATGTATAGATAGAGCCAAGATCATCTAAAAAGATAAACCATAAATAACTTAGATACATAGTCTAAAGGGGTTCAATTGAATCTCTTTCTCATCCAAAATTTATATTGTGCAAATAGAATAAAACTATTTTGTTTGTATAAATATAGATATTTTCTAGTGTAGTGGTAAAGGTAGTTTTTCTTTCCCTTTTTTTTTTAAAGTCATCATGTTCAAATCTTAGTTATGGCATTTTTGCAATTTTTCCCTTATTAGAAAATTGTATAAAGGGGTGAGATTTGAATCTCTTTCATCAAAAAATTATTCTTCCAAATAGAATAAAAATATTTTTTTTTGTATACATATAGGTAGTTTCTATTGCAGTGGTAAAGGTAGTTTATTTTTTTAAGTCATCGGATTCAAATCCTAGTTATGGCATTTTTGCAATTTTCCCCTTATTAGAATGAGATCTTTGCACAAATAGCCGGTCATATTCATTGTTTACTTTTTCTAGCCATATATATAGTTTATATAATGATTATATATAATTATACACATATAGTACATAAATTATACATATATTATAACTCCGCCGGCTATTTTTAATTTAAGCGCTTGGATGAGCGGCTATTTGAGTTAGTTCTTCTATTATAATTTTGTCACTTAATAGCTATATAGTGGAACTAGTTATCTTAAAAATAAAGCATATAACTTCTTAAAACATATTGAATTATAGTTATAAAATTTATTTATATTTCAGTGTATCTAAGTTAAATCCTAATCCAACTAGTCTGACTTATTTCTTTTCCTGATTTTTGGCAGGGGAAGTGCCTGCATTTGTCTGAGCAGGTCGATTTATTCCAGCGAACGGTGGAGCAAGAATTGCCTAAGCAATATGATGATCCTGAGGAGCTTTCCAGTTATTTGTCAAGGTCCATTTTTCTCATCTCCACAGGCAGCAATGACTACGTAAACAACTACCTACAGCAAAACTTCTATGACAAAAGCAAACACTACAGTCCTGAATCCTTTGCCAAACTTCTCATTGATGCACTTTCTCAACAATTTCAGGCAAGCCCTAGCTCCTTCTTAAAAGTATAAATAACTTTTATACTATCAGTGTAATTTAATCTGGTTTAGCAAATTACCACATGTTAAAATAGGTTAAATTAGTGTTTATCAGTGAATATTGTGGGTTGTGCAGAGGTTATATCGACTAGGAGCTAGAAAGGTAATAATGTTCGAGATAGGGCCAATTGGTTGTATTCCATCACTTACAAAGCAGCTAAAGCACAATGGACTTTGCGCTGAAGAATATAACAATCTTGCAGTAATCTTCAACAACCAACTCAGTGACATGCTCAAGAATCTCACTTCAACTCTCCGAGGCTCGGCACTTATTCTTGGCCATGCTCACTGGCTTGGCTTCGACGCTGTCACCAATCCTTCTACTTATGGTAATACAGTCAAATCTCACTGTAACATTCTCATTGGTTTCGATATTTTTTTGTTACTATAGTAAAGTGTTGTTATAGAAAATATATATTATAACATAACATGAAAATTTGGTTCCAAAGAAATTGGTTATTATGAAGTGTTGTTATATAGGATGATTGTTATAGAAAGATCTGACTGTATATAACTAAAGTGATAGATTAATTTTACGTATGATTATGCATTGAACCACGGGTCTATTATAGAAAATCATTAAACTAAATTTCGTAGCTAACAAGTACATTTATGTAATCTTATATTTCACATCAAAATGAAAATCACAAGAAATTCACTAATCTAGCGTCGGAAATTACAAATAATTAAGCTGCCACATTAGATAAGACTATCAAGTATGCACCACTACGTCACACATCAAATCCATATCCACGTCACAACACATATATGTTGTCATCATTTTCCCATTTCTCTCAATTATTTACCTCCATTTAATACATAGTTTCCCGTTTTTAAAGTTGAAGTTTATTAGCAGACATAAGATATTGCAACGCTTATTTTAGTTTAATTTTATCTTATGTGGCAACTTAGTTGTAATTTCCGGTGCCGGGTTGACTAATTCTTTTGGATGATTTTCGTTTTATGCGAAGTATAGGATACTTAAGCTTGATGTAACTTACTTTTTTTTTTTTGGTTAAAAAAATTAATTTTATGACTTTGTTGCAGATTGATGATCATATGTGAAATCAACCGATCCAATTTATGTGTATTTTAGTCAAACATGATTAATTGCTTGGAAGAAAATTGAAATATTTTCTCTTTTGTAGGTTTAATGGATCTAATTGGCCCATGTTGCATCACCTGGGCAAATGGGACATCAGCTTGCATACCTGAACTTTTGCCCTGCCGCAATGCAGAAAAACACTACTTCTGGGATGGTTATCATCTTACTGAAACCGTATATAGGGTTATTGCCACAAAATGTTTCAATGGGACTGATGTTTGTATTCCCAAGAATATTAAGGAGCTTGTGGAAGATTGACAAATTAAAGACTGTTCATTAAGGAAAAGAGTTATATATATATATATACAAGTACAACTACGTGCATGTAGATCATGGAAAATGGACTTGGAAGAAGTTAGAAAGTTGAAAAGCGGACCAGTAGAAGTTTGATATGAAGGATGATTTAATTACATAGTGTTTTCATTTATAAAAACTCCGTTTATAATGAGAGCTCTCTTGATATACAAAGAGTACATTATATATATATGATGAGTAATACTCGAACAGTTATATCAAGTTTCTCTGATATTTCTGTCTTGGTTATAAGCGCGGAGTCAGAGTCAGAATTTAAAGTTTATGGGTTTGAGATTCTAGGCTTTTTAAGTTAATGGGTTCTAAATTAGTAATTTGTACATATTAAATAAATTTCTCAAAATAAATATAGAGCTTAGATCACACCCCTAGGAGTGCGGCTCTTTCCGGACCCTGCGTGAATATATGCGGGATGTTTCGTGCATCGGGCTACCCTTTAGAAGCAACGCTAAAGTTGTCTCTGTGTATCACGGGTTCGAGCCGTATAACCAGTCACTAATGTTTGTATTAGAGTAGGATATTTACATCATACCTTTGGGGTGCGAGCCTTTTCTGAACCATACCTGAATAAGCGGGATACTTGTACATGAGGCTGTTCTTTAAATATAAAGCTTAAATCAAAGTTATTGAGTTCAGCCGAACTCGTATCTTCAAGGCAAACTCTGTCCCTTAAGCGGCTCTTTGGATTTAAATGGGATTTTTCATATTTACTAAGTGAGGAGTAAAGCTATTTTTATCAAAAGATTTTTCATTTTCAGAAATTAGTTCGGCAAACGGACTTGAGATAACGAATAGTTAAAACAAAACAAAAAATAATCAACAGGTAAATTAGTTTTGATTTGTTAAGATAAAAATTCAACTGAATATCTTGTTAACCAACTAAAATTTCCTAAGTTTCAATTTATATGTTCTATTATTCTTTTTGGTATGTTTTAGAAAGCATGTAATATTTCAATATTAATTCTACTATTTAAGTTTTACCCTTAATGACATTGATATTTAAGATTTAAAAATTCAAAAAGTATTTTAAATTTATTATACATGTTTTTGGTTTAAGATTTTAAGATATAATGTTGTTAAATCAAACTAAAATACATGTAAATAAAACCGAGTAATGTAAACTAAACATATCGTTAAAATGGTATGCCACGGACCCATGGTGCTACAAGCTGTACTACGAGCACTTTAGATGGACATTACGAGGTAATCATTCACACAGATTAGCTCCTTACACAGACGCGTGTCAAACAAAAACACCAGAAAAAAAAAATCTCTTTTTCTCCGTACAACTTCCATACGTCTTAACGCCTGATTCCATCCTATACTTTTATCATCAACCTCAACAAAACATATGCATAATTTGTGATTTTGCAAAGATAGCCGTATTTTAATTGAACACAACATAATATAGCGTTCAAATTTGCAGGCTTTGTCCAAATCACCCACATACATTTGTAGGAAGGCGAAGCTGTTCTTGCAAACATATTTCTGTACGTATACAATTTAAACATATCAATTATTTGGGAGTGATTTTTGGATAATTGATTCGTTATACTGCAATTGTTTTTTCTCTCAAAGTATAGTTGGTCCAAACGCGGATAAAGGAAGATGGTGTTAAAATAGTTGTGGGGTTATTGATTGATTGATAAATTGGTATATACATTAGATAGGGGAAGCGATGGGAGCTGTAACGTCGTCGATGGCGGCAAAGTTTGCATTTTTTCCGCCAAATCCGCCGTCGTATGGGGTGGCGGTGGAAGAATCAACGGGAAAACTTAAGATGACAGAGGTGGTGCAGAGGGAAGACGTGGACATTTTGAAGCTAGGAACGAAGAGAGGGACGGAGATTATGGCCATGTACGTGAGGAATCCGGCGGCGAAGCTGACGCTGCTATACTCTCACGGCAACGCGGCTGATTTGGGGCAGATGTACGATTTGTTCACCGAACTTAGTCTTCATCTCCGGGTCAATTTGATGGGGTATCTTTCTTTCTTGCTCCTTTTTTAAAAAAAACTCTCTGGTTACATTTTATATGGCATTATTTGACTAGATATATAGCTTTTTTAAAATAAAAAAAAAGCCTTTTCATAGATGCCAAAAGTATTGTATAGTTCTTAAACATGCCATGACATCTATATGGCTATAAAAATATTTTGTTGAAGATAAATTGAAAAGTTTGAAAGTTAAATTATTTTTAAATATAGAAAGTTATTATTCTTTTTAGAAATAACCAAAAAAAATTAGTGTCAGATAAAATTGAACAAGTCAGAATAGTGTCATATAACGCATTAGAATTAAAACGAGGCCAAAAACAGCAGAATGAGCATAGAGATTCAGAATATAATATTTTAGGATGTGTTATTGAAGCTTGTTCTGTTGGAGCAGAACCGAATTATTGGTTCAACAGAAGATTCAATTACTATACAACAAGGTGGATGTGTTTATCAAGACTTTTGCTGTCTGTAGAGGAGGTTCGTGAACTCCAAAGCAGTACTCGAGCTTCTTAGTATTTGCATCTGTGTGTACATATTTACATAGTAAAAGAAGATTTAAATTTATATCGCACTGTATAATTTTCTACATATATACACATATATAGTCTAAATTCAAAACAGTGAGTTGTTTATATGCTGGATTATATATGTGCTTGCTAATTTAAAATAGAATGAAGCTACCTTAAGTGTAATGTAGTTGATTAATCCAGAGATTCAGGAATAAGCTTGTGGTTGCTGCAGTAAATCTTTTAGTATCACTATCTGATGTGTAAACTGACCCCGAGGAGATAATCTATTATTCCTAGTTGTTTTGTATATGCTCTCTTCATGCAGAGACAATAGTGGATAAATGATCTCCTCACTGTTGTTGTGATATTACCCTCCCCCGCTATGAAAATTTGACATTGCAGTGATACTTTCACGTGGTTTAGGAACTACTATTTCCAACCTGACCTGGTGGATATGCCTTAATGTTGACAAAACTTGCTTCTTTTATGGTAAACATAAGCTTTCGTCTTAGTTATGTGGTTTGTAAAAAGTGACAGAACATGTAACATTGACATATATCATCTTGGAAATCTCTCATGCTCGTCAGAGACTTCCTGGTCTTCAAAGTCTGGGAGATGCTCACTTTTCATTCTCCACTGGATTTCTTCCTCTCCTCGCTTTTAATCTGAGTGCCTAATTTTATTTGAACGGCACCTTTGGGCAGAGGAAGCTTGAAGGAACAGTTGCTGCAAGTTTTGGAAAGTTTGCTTAGTCTTTCTTTTTGTGGAACACTGAAAGTTTTGACTTTAAATCCCACCCTTAATTTATTTAATAAAAGATAGACATATGGATCCAAATTACCTCAAAATTTCTGAGTTTCCTCTCTTTTCTGGCAGGTATGACTATTCAGGGTATGGACAGTCCACTGGCAAGGTATGAAATATTTCTTTAGATGATTAAGTTTAGGTAGTTCAAGAAGAAATTATTTGATTCTGTATTCTTATTTTGCTATAGCCAAGTGAGCAAAACACTTATGCCGATATAGAAGCTGCATATAAGTGTCTTGAAGAGACATATGGGGTGAAGGAGGAGGATATAATATTGTATGGGCAGTCTGTTGGTAGTGGACCAACATTAGATTTGGCATCCCGCTTATCAAGATTGAGGGCCGTGGTTCTACACAGCCCAATTCTCTCTGGAGTTCGCGTCTTGCATCCAGTTAAGCGGACGTACTGGTTTGACATATATAAGGTTAACGTTCTATTCGTGGCAGTTATGTGGAGCTTTGTTTGACCTGATTTTTTATGTAATATTATTTTGTATTTAGCTGCTTTTCTTTCTTTTCTCTATGCAGAATATTGACAAAATACCATTCGTTGAGTGTCCTGTCCTCATTATCCATGTGAGTATCCATTTTTTCTTCATAAATATATCACATTTCCTTAGGAAGTTTTTTTGTCAAGGATTGGTTACTGTTGATAAGTAGCAAAACTGGTTCACTGGTTCAAGCCTGCAATGGAGCAGGCACCTCTGCCTGCGATCACAGCTGAACATCTGTTTGGCAGTTCCTCCTCCAATTTCCATCTTGTTGCTCTTTTACGACTCCTCCATATCTGCTGAGTGCTGTCCTTATTCTAAGCCAAATTCAATGTGACTTTTGGTTACAAACTGATGAGTCACATGTTTTTACGGGTGGTTGTGTTTTGGGGAAGAAATTAGAGGTTGGACTAATATCGCGTGTTCTTTGCTATTGTGCCTCCGGTTTGACCAAGTTAAGCCTCCCAATAGGAAACTTGTAATCTCATGAGGGAGTTACAATTCAATTTGCTCCCTTATTCCTCTTCCTCCTTCCAGTCTTCCCCTGCCAGCTTCTACTACACTCATGTCCCTGCCATTTTTCTCCACTTTTTTTTGTAATGCATTTTGTTCGTCTCTTTTCCTTGTCCTTACATGATTCCTTATCTCAATGACAAAAGTCTTGTTTTAGTAATTAATCATGAAGTTATGCCTTTGTTTTTCAATTGATTGTTTTCCAACTAGTGAATAGTGTAAAAAATTAACTCTATATCATGAAGCTATCCTCAGAAATTGAGTCAGTATCCGAGAGAATGGTAGAGATAGAAGACCTGTATAGTTTGGATGGATTGATTCCTTGGGCAGAATCAAGTACTGATATGGTAGCACTTGATTCTAGAATTGCTAGCTGACATTCCCATATGAACTTTTTTGACATTAATTTCTAGGGCACTGCAGATGATGTTGTGGATTGTTCTCATGGTAAGCAGCTGTTTGATCTATGCAAGCAAAAATATGAACCGTTGTGGGTTGAAGGTGGTAACCATTGTGATTTGGAGCTGTACCCCGAGTACATAAAACATCTGAAGAAGTTCTTATCAGCTGTTGAGAAATCTACGGTTTCTAAAAATGGAAATGCACCAAGTACGGACCAAATAGATAAACTTGAAACATCGAAATAGCAGAGATTGTAGATGCAGGCCATGCAAACACCAAAAGGAGAAATCTAGACCAAGTACAGAAAAGCAAGAGAAACCCTATAAACAAGCACATATCAGAGAGATTTATCAAGAGCTACTAGCATGGACAGGAACGAAACGTCAACAAAGAGTATCGATCTAGCAGAAAGGACCAATAACAATTTGAACCCACCAGAGAAAGCAAGAAACATGTTTGTATAGATTTTCTACTTTTTGGTATACTTTGTGTACAGGAGATTTTCCCACTTCAATGAAATTAATTTTCTTCATAAAAAAGGAAAGCAAGAAACAGCATTTATCTTTCATATTATACTAGCTGGAGTGTCTTTCATCTTTTGTTTCCTTGGGCTAATTAGCATGATCTGAAAATAAAACTTAAATCATATCACCATAGAGATCAGAGGGGGTTTCGATTTTGTCTGGCAAATTCGTGTTGTGTATGGTTAAGCTTTTAGGTTTCAAGACCTTTGCAGATTCTTGAATTTAGTTCTCTTTTTTATGTCTTTAGCTACCACTATCTGTTTAATAACACCAATTTTGAGATAAAAAACATTTAACTGTGTATGTTCTCCCCTACGAATGAAGTTGTGGAGACCCTTCCCAGGTTTTGGCATCTTTCATTCCCATGAAAGAGATCCCAGGTGTAGTGCCTGTTCACTTTGAATATCTCGAGGCTCGAATTTATTGATGTTGAAGAATCAGCAGATGAATAGTGGTTAGGATAAGATATCAATCAAGCGAATAGAGAGTTGCCCTTTTTTGATTAATCTGGTGATAAATTTGATTGTAGTCAAGTTGTTTTGAGTTTAAAGACGAAGATGCCTCCAACTACTTAGGGAACCTGGCCAAATATGCATAATAGTGTAGGGATTCAGGTAGCAAGTCCCATTCTCAGACCGGTTGTGGGGGAGGAAGACTCCACACCGTGGTTCTTAGCCACGTGCTCTATTTGAAAAAGCATTTAACAGTATGTTTTATAAATTTTTTCATTTATAAGGTAAAATTTGGTTACTAATAAAGTACCAAGATGGTACAACATAGTACAAACCGCAAACAGGAACCAAACAAACAGCCTACTCATTTTTCCTCCTTGCAAATCCATATACTGATTCATATTCTCTAGAAGACTGCTGTTACACCAAAAATAAAGATTATGAAGACAAACAATTCCTAGTTCTAGAGAGATGCTCCTTTTGCTCATCAAAATTCAAAACCTGCTTTGTTCCTCCCCAGCAAAGCAGTATGTTCTTTAGTTACCTTAACATTTACATTTGGTACAGACCCAATTAGATTATTTCACTTGATTCGCACAAAATTCTGAAAAGGGTCATTTTCTTAGAACAGTTAAAGTTTAATTATTATATGAAAATATTTTCATAAACTAAACTAGTGAAATTGATTAATTTTAAGATCACTCATTCGATAATCATTTAGTTGGAAAATTTAGAAATGACTAATTTTGGTCCTCCACAAAATCAAGAATCATTGCAGCACACGATATTGGATTGGTGTAAACACTAGGTAGAGTAAATTCCCCCCCCTGAAAAGATGAGTCAAGAGTAAAGACAGAACAAAAGAATCATATATATTGCAAAAATAAAAACAAGCAAAATCCAACAGAAGTTCTTCCAAAGACTTCTTACCGGGATTTTGTTAGTTGTATACTCAATAGCCTCCTTTCTATTTGACCTTATCAAACAAAACAAAACAAAAATGGCCTCCTTTCTATTTGAGATAAACAGTTGCTAAATTCATCTTTTTATTTGTATGGAGTTTCTTGATGACATACAAAAATCAAGTTCGATTCAATCCAGCAACAGCTTTGAGGATGTAACAGTAGAAACAAAAAGAAGAATTACAGTTGATTCATGATGATGGAATTTGGCACACAGACTGCACTTTGGATTCCAGCAAGGAAACGTACTTATCAAGCATCGAAATTACAGCTTCAAACTCTGTAACTTGCTGCTCTATTGTATCAATTTGTTGAACGTACTCGTCAAAGCTGCCACTTTTAGACTTCAATTGCTCCACAAAGATCCTCAATCCTGAAGCCACATCTCCAAAGCCTTTATATTCTTCAGCAACTCTTGTATTCATTTTCTCCACTATTCCAAGTACATTGTTGGTTTCCTGGTATGCAATTCGCAAAGCAGCATTATGATAAAAGCAGAAATTAACTTCAGTACCAGCACAACAAGTAACAGTTTTTGGATTTTAGACTAACATAATCCATTTTGAAAGTGTATTTTAATATTAGTGGCTGTACTCACAAAGACCTATCTACTGGAAGATGCTAGAAGGTTCATGGTAAAGGAAAACTTTAAATCAAAAGAAGACAGAACAAGCAAAGCTAAGCAAACAAGAATTCTTCTACGCTCTTGTCTGGATCTAGCTTTGCTTGCTTCCTCAAACGAATGGCTAATACTGCTTTTGAGTGAACTAAAGGGAGGAATGAGGGAGTTACTGAAACAACAAACACTTCTTTGCCTTGGATGAAACAATGAGGTCACTCATCCTATCTGAGCAAAACAACTGGTCAGGTTCCACGAAACTTTACTTAATCCATGATCTTGAATTGGGCAATAATGATTTCTAATAAACCAGAGGCGGGAACGAAATATGAACCAACAATTTCACAATAATTTCTCCTTGCAACGAATAGTTACCATTAACTGATCATTTGTGAGCTAAACATCTTGTCAGATTCATCAAAAGAGCAATCTTCCACTTTATCCAGGCAAATTATTTCTTAGCTGCCTGCTAAGGAAAACTCTACGGCTGTTTTTGGGATGGCAACCTTGCAGTATGTTTACAGTGAGAAACATGTAAGGAACGGTAAAATTCCTTACAAAATTATGTCCATGCTGCTAAGGTAAGTTAAACACTAATTGCAAATTCAGTAATTAGTATATGCAAAGGCGGGACAACATATGAGAAAGAAAGAAAAACTAATTTATACAAAAGTTTATCATATCTAGGCTAATGAGAAACCCATCCAACCCCCCGCCCCCTTCACATCCCCAACAAAAGAAAGAAAAAGAACCAAAAGATATACAAAGCAGCATTTTGAAAAAAAATTCCAAAAGCTTTCTTATACCTGGAGCTCGCCTCTTATCATCATGGAAACATTGGTGAAAAGATCATTGAGTGACTCGGCCAAGGGGTCCTGCTCCATCTTTTGAAGCAATTCACCGTCTAAGAGCTTGATGGGTGAGCAAAAGATATTGCACTTGCTGTTGGAGTATTTTAAGAAAATAAAAGCAACAAAAATAACAATTTTGGTATAATTTGAGGATACAATGCCAAGAGTGAAATTTCTAATGAAGAGATTGACTGTAAATGAATTACGTCAGGGCAAACAAGAGAAAGCCAGGCAAGACATTTGATCGGCTTCAATTATTACTTGAGTGCTAATAATACATGAATATTAAAAGAATGTCTAAGATGAGGAAAACTACTGCTCAATGTTTGGAGCATAAGTGGAGTAGACTAGAGAAAGTTCATACTAAACATCAAGATAGTATGTGAAGAATAGCTGTTGCTACCATTGCCTAAATCTTGCCTCATGTCCTGAAGCCACCATCACTCAATTCATTATCAAGTTCGACAGTTCTATCTAAACACGTAACTTTGCTTATTTATAAATTCAGTTTCAGCACTTGATGTTTATCAACTACTTTTAAACAGCTAATCCAAATGGACTCTAACTTCCCAATTAATGAGCGAGAGTCGTTATTTTACAAACATCCCAACTCTTACTCGAATCACTCGCTCAAATCAATACTTACACATTATTATCAGTTTTAATACTAAAAAAATTCATCAAAACACTATCTAATTTGCCAACATTATTATCAACCTTTAATTAAAAAAATCAAGAAATATCGTCCATTCACCAGCCAAATACTAGAAAATAAGTGAGAAAACCACTTATTTTCCTAGAAAATAGTTTCCTCATACCATAGGACTCTTACCACTTTCAAAATAGAACCCCCCCCCCCCAAAAAAAAAAAAAAA